AACGTTGTTCATCTTTTTCGGGTTCAGCCTCTGGCTTTGTTTCCGGTACCTTTGTGTTTTGGTATCCGTTTTGCACCTTGTCTAACCCATAACTGTTTCCGTTGACTGCCCTGCAGGCAACAGCTTGTCGGTTTTACGTTTTGATACTCGTTTCACACTCTTTGAAAGCGTCATCACGGATTCATTAAATACCGGCACTAATGTGTCTTCGGCTGCGTTGATCAGCGAACCTAATGCTGTATGCGGCAGCGGGAGCTGCTCCAAGCCCGTGACGGACTAGTCTGGTGGCATGCAGTGCTATGTATGCAACTGCTGATATTATGAGACCTGTACCGATTTGAACCCTGATCAATACGCAATGCTTTCGACCAGCGACAGCATGCTGTTCAATTGGTTTCTATACACTAGCCGTCGATCAACGCGTCTTGAGGTCACTGAGGAGGCTTCGAGCAACGTCGGGCTGGGTACCCAGTAGTTGTGGTCCTTCCTCATATCTCTTGATCAGAAAGTGGAGTTACTGATGAGGAATATGGGAGTCTCTATTGATGTCGGCTCATTGGAGGAAGACACGCAACTAACCTCAATTGCTGTCGATGAAAATTTGGCTGAAGTGATGACTACCGTGTCGTGTGTCCCAACGGTCCAGAATGCCTCTAAAGAGGCTTCTGATGTCGTACTGGAAGCCGTCTAAAGCGAGACCGAACTTATGGTCCCTGGACCCAATAAAAGCAAGTGGAAGAGGGCTAAGAAAGTCCGTATGGCTGCCCCAACGCCTGAAGGTCCTGAAAGCGTTAAGGTATTGGAAGTGGAACACAAAACTCCAGTTCCAATCACCCCAGTTCCATTGGCGAAGCAACGCGCCGTGTCGACTTTGGCCACACCCGCAAAGTCTGAAAAGACTAGACCGGTGAGTTAGTTGGAGGCAGAGAATAATGCCTCAACCTCAATTACTCCAGCTCACTTGGCGAAGAAACGCGCCGTGTCATCTGCCAAACCGGTCGAAAATGGGGTCGCGTCGAAGACGCGTGGAGTGAATACGCCTCGTCGAGGTGATTCTTTAACTGATAGTAGCGTTATCATTTGTAACGTTGCTGAATCCGCGGCAGCTCTTCCAAAGAAACGCATGCTGGTTGCCCTCCAGTAGTTCAAGTTCTGCGTCGACAAGATGCTTCCACCTGGTTTCCCCGGTGTCACTATCAGGAAACTAACCAGATTGGGGAACGTCCCTGTAGACACGCCAAATCCGCGACCCCGACTACTTCGTGTAGTCCTCTCAACCCCGGAGGAACGCAAAGAGTTAATGCGCTTTGCATTCAAACTCAAGGGTAGCAATGTCAGCGTTCAGCCGTTCTCCCACTGGCAGATCGGCTGAAGTTAAAGGAAGCCATCAAAAGCCTCATGAGCAGGCGGGCGGCTGGTGAGCAAGGCCTTCGTCTTGTGGGTTTTCAGGTAGTCAGCCGGAAGAAAAATTCTGCCCTACCAAAACCTCCCCTGGTAGCGTACGACCCAGCGCTGGTCGTGCCGAGTTCCTTCGGGTAGTGCTTAGTAATGTGCGTAGCCTAAGGAACAAGGTGCACGAGGTGGGTCTACTTGTAGACAAATATCGTCCCGACAAACTTGATTTCACCGAAAGTGCTTGTCCCCGGATATCACAGACGGTGAGGTATGTTTACTTGGCTCCGCACTGCTTAGATGTGATCGCTCCGTTGGCCGCCTAGGTGGGAACGTCGCTCTTCATGTGAGTTGTAAACTTGATGTCTTGAGGACCTGTGTGTTCCGGTCGCCGGATCAAACTGTTGAAGCCCTGTCGACTATTGTGTGCACTTCTTTTGCTCAGTTTACAGTTGTAGTGGTATATCGAAGTCCTGGAAGTATCTCCAGGGAGGTTATTGAATTTGTTCGTACTCAGGCTGCCAATAGGTGTCTAATACTGGGTGACTTCAACCTCCCTAAAGTCTGCTGGGCTGATCTATCTTGCAGTTCGGCGGGGGGCACTTTCGGTTCGGATCTCCTTGAGCTAACATTGCAACTTCCTTTCATCATTTCGTGGACCTCCCGATTAGATATATGAGCAACCAAATTCGGTCTACCTTGAACCTCATTTTTGAGAAGTCACTCTATTTCGTAAGTGATGTTACCTACGACTGTCCACTAGGAGCCAGTGACCATGTCTGCATATCCTTTCGTTGGGCTCTAACTAAGTGTCATCAAGCTACCGCTGAGGCATGTCCGCCTATTTGGCGGGCAGACTTTAACGCAATGCGAGACAAAGCTTTAGTTCCTTGTTGTGCGATCACCGTGGATGACACCGTTGAGACAGCCTTGGAGAAATTTAAAGCTTACCTCACCGAGATCACTGCTCCCAAAATCCCAATCATTTAGAGACGAGTGACAGGGGCGCGGCCTCCATGGATGGATCATAAAGGTAAATACCTGCTCAGGAAGCGCTCTAAGTGTTGGCGAACTTACCAAGCAGCTTCATCAGCGAGCACCTACGAAAGCTATCGAGCGGTTGGCAATAAATGTAAGCATCATCTTAGAACTCTTCATCTTCAGTACGAGGCGGATTTGGCTAACGCAGCCGTAACAAATCCAAAGAAGTTCTTAAGTTACGTAATGTGGCGTAGCGGTACAAACTCGTCTATACCGGCTTTACTACCATCGGACGGGATCCGTGGGCATACCGACTATGATATAAAGCCTGTATACTTAGCGAACAGTATACTGGTGTCTTTTCTCGTGAGGCTTCTCTACCTCAGATTGAGCAGGTCACAAAAGTTCCAGAGGATTCTTGCCTAACTGAAATCAGCATAACGGAGACACAAGCCTTCGGGCTATTGCAAGGGCTGAATCCTTCCAAAGCTTCTGGCCCAGGTTAAATTCATCCGAAGCTGATGCATGAATTGGCCGCTGAGCTAGGTGGCTCTCTGACATGTATGTTTACAATATCACTCGACAGCTGTGCCTTACCTTCGGAATGGAAGGAGGCAATCATGTGTCCGATTTTTAAGGGTGATGACAGAGGTCTGCTCACGAACTACCGGCCTGTCAGCTTAACCAGTGTAGTAGTTAAGTTGTTTGAAAAATTGTTCCGGGATTCGGTGGGGAATCACCTGATTAAGTTTGACCTACCCAGTGCGGCATAGCACGGATTCCGTAAGGGATTTTTATGTCTGACAAATTTACTTGTAGCTCTTGAAAGCTGGGCTGAGGCAGTAGACTGCGGACACGCCATCGACGTGCTTTCGTTGACTTCTCAAAGCCTTTGATACTGTCCCACATAAACGATTCTCATTGAAGTTGAAATCGTATGGGATATCTGGAGCCGCCCTTAAATGGTTCTGCTTTCCTAGAGGGGAGATAATAGTGTGTACGCTTGGGGCCTAACCTTTCGCCTAGACAAGCTATTCTTAGTGGCTTTCCGCAGGGCTCGGTTCTAGGGCCGTTGCTTTTCGCATGTTATGTCAATGACCTGCCCCAGGAGCTTGGAGTACAGTCGCTATTGTTTGCCTATGACCTCAAGCTCTGGAATATTGTGGATGTCCCTGCTGGCTCTGAGGCATTTCAGAGTGCTTTGGATAGGCTCTGAGATTAGTCAACCTTATGGTTGATGCCCAAAAATCAGGTGAAAGCTTATGTCCTCCGCATTGAAGGTGCTAGTCCTCCATGCGCTATGTTGTTAGTGGAAGTCAACTCACTGTTGTCATTCAGCAGGTTGGTCTAGGTATCACCCACATCTCATTGCTTCACTCTGGGGACAATTGGAGGATGGGTGCTTGTAAAGGGTTCCGTATGATGTGGTTTATTCGTTTCTCCTTCGATGTTCTAACGGGGAATATCTTTGTGAAGCTGTTCTCAACTTTTATGCGACCCCACTTAGAGTACTGTATCCAGGCTTGTCCACGTTGTCTTGTAAGGGACAAAATGGAACTGGAGAGGGTTTTGCGAATGGGTACAAGGTCAGCGCAAGGCTAACGGGATAAACGCTTCCCGAACGTTTGCTTAGCTTGGGTATGTACTCAATGCACTACCGCAGAATTAGAAGAGACTTCATCCTCACTTACTGTATCTTAACGGGCATGATCGGTCCAGACTTGCTTTGGCTATTTAGTCCCGCTAAGCTGCCTAGTTTCTGAGATCACCCGTTGAAGCTGTACAAATTGCATTCTGACTGGGTAAGGACGGAAAATCGCTTGTCGCGTCGAGTTATTGAACGTTGGAACACGCTTCCGGCGCACGTGGTTAGGGAGTCTATAGTAGAGGGTTTCGAGCGTCAGTTAGATGCTCTTGGGTGGCAGTACCAAACCTTCCCCTTCTCCTAACCGACTTGTATCTTCAACTTACCATTCGTTCAGTTTTAATTTTCTCACCTTGGTATTATCAGTGTTTAGCTGACATTCCTCCTTTTGTTTTCCTAACTTACCCTTCACTCTTTTACTTCACATAAACCGGCGTGGCAGTGACTGCTGGGAAGGAAAATGTGGGCAGTAATTGGTTGGACAGGGTGTGATGCGGTCTTTGTATTAGGCTTTTCTATACCTCAAGCAACCTGTCAATTCCCGATCCGGCGATACGCAAAAGAAGGAACATTCACGGGATTATGCTATCGTTTCGCTCCCAACCGAACTTGAACTTGAACTTAACGTCACTCATTTTGGTACCAACGGTTACCAATAGCAACTATCGTATTGGTGCATTCAAACTCCAGTTTTCAGATTAAGCGGACTAAATGTACACATCTCCACACAATTCCATACTCGTCCACGCAGCCAATCGGATAACTTCGTTAACTTGAATTCACACAGTTCGCTGTTTTACTAGTAGCCAGCGCCATTCCTTGTTGATGCAGTTATACTTTAACAAAATATGAAACTCTTATACGTTTAATAATTCATTATTCAAAAATACAGACTTGCACATCGATTGATGCCGGACCCATGCCACTCGATATTTTTTGCTTACTTCGGCGGCATTTTTTGCCCCCGCCTGCTGGGTGCGATGAAAGTTCATTGTTCTGTGAGTACTACGCGGTAACTCGATTTTTTGGCGTGCCATACTGATCGAGCTTTTCAGCTGAAATAACGTGGAAAACAGCGTTTGAATAAACACTTGAAACGAAATTTGACTATTGTCAAATTTTTCTGATCCAATATATCTTGGATCGATTAAATTGGTACTGGCCAAAGCGTCTTTGGCGCTTACTGGTAATTTTTCCAGTTGTTCCCAGTTTTAATCCCGTTTTGCGCCCTCTTTTTGCCTTTTTACTGCGGTCTTTTTTCTATTGTATACGTCTTATAATTCTACTCGGTTTTCCACATGAACATGGCTGTCTCGCTAAACACCGAGACGGATGGACCTATGGGGTCCTCGTTTAATGAGTCTACTGCAGCTTGCGGACAGGTTAACTGTTCAGAGCCCGTAACAGATGTATCTGGCGGTATGCAGTGTGACGTCTGCTACCGCTGGTATCACGAAGGCTGTACCGGCCTACAAGCTGACCAGTGCAAAATGCTATCATCAAGCGTTCACTTTCTTTTCAGTTGTGCTGAATGCTGCGCTCAACGATCGACGCGCCCGGCTGTCACCAATGCTAAACTTTTAGCGCTGACTTCAACGTTGGCAGATGTTGAGTTGGCGATAGCTAAACTTGCCTCTATTGCTTCGCTCGATACCAAGATGGATTTGATTTTAAAATCCCTGAATATTTCGATTGAAGGTACTGCAATAGACGGCAACATTGCTGACGATCCACCCGCTGGAGTCTGTCACTTGGTCATGAAGTCGTACATCCTACCGGTCAATCCAGGTTGCATTGCTGGCTATCCTCATGAGCCGATCAAAGTGAGGAAAAATAGGGTGCGGAAATACCAAAAGCCCTCTGCTCAACCCAGAGAATTAGTTGCCATGGCATCGAAAAAGATGCCGTCTTTGACAGTCGTAAAGTTATCTGACGATTGTGCACAGGAGAACCTTCCGAAGATGCTGACCGTCTCGGCCGTCACTGAACCAGCCCGTTCTGACGAAGTGCTGGTAACTGCTCAATGCGATACAAGGTCAACGGCTCCTGCTCCAGTGAAACAAAAGAAGAAGCCGACTAGGTCTGCTCGTAAAACTTCGAAGGGGCTTGAAGACCCGAACTAGTAAGACGCCTGGAATGGAGCGGAAAACCTACGCTACCGTTGCTTCGACGTCGTCTGTGAAGGCAGGGATAGTACCATCGCCAGTGGTGAAAACAGCTGGTATAGGTGTGGACTCCAAGGCACGTGGAGTAAACACCCCGTCGTGCCGACTCTTTCACGGATAGTAGCGTTATATTCAGTAACGTTAATAAATCTGCAGCCGCATTCCCAAGGGAACGCATCTTGGATGTCATCAAGTGGCTGAAACTGTGTGTCAGCATGCTGCTTCCACCTGGCTTCCCTGGTGTCACTGTCAGAAAGCTGACCAGATTGGGAACGCCCCTATCGCTACGCCAAATCCACGACCCCGACTACTTCGCGTAGTCCTTTCTACCCCGGAGAAACGCAAATAGTTACTGCGATTTGCATTCAAACTTAAGGGTAGTGGTGTCAGCGTGCAGCCGGACCTACCACTGGTAGATAGATTGAAGTTAAAGGAGGCTATCAAAGACCTCAAAACTAGACGGGCGGCTGGTGAGCAAGGCCTTCATCTGGTGGGTTTTCAGGTGGTCAGCCGGAAGTTATTTTCCGCCCTATCAAAACCCATCCTGATGGCGCACGACTCAGGGATGGTCGTGCCGACTTCCTTGAGGTAGTACTTAGCAACGTGCTTAGCCTAAGGAACAAGGTGCACGAGTTGGGTCTACTTGTAGACAAATCTCGTCCCGCCATACTTGCTTTCACTGAAAGATGGTTGTCTCCGGATATCACGGACGGTGAGGTATGTTTACCTGGCTACGCGCTGCTTAGAACTGATCGCTCCATTAGTCGACAAGGCGGAGGCGTTGTACTGTATGTGAGCTGTAACTTAGATGTGTTGAGGACCTGCACATTCCAGTCGTCGGATCAGACTGTTGAAGCCCTGTCGGCTGTTTTGTGCACTTCCTCTATCCAGCTTACAGTTATAGTGATATACAGAAGTCCTGGAAGTTCTTCCAGGGGGATACTTGACTTTATTCGCACTCAGTCTGCGAATAAGTGTTAAGTTCTAGGGGATTTCAACCTCCCGGAGGCCTGTTAGGCCGATCTTTCTTGCAATTCGGCATTAGGAACATTCGGTGCACTTTCTTGAATTGACTCTCCAAGTGTCTTTGCACCAGCTCGTTGACTTTTCCACTAGGTATATGGACAACCAAATACCATCTACTTTAGATTTGGTTTTCGCTAAGTCCCTGGACTTCGTGACTGACATTTCATATGGTGCACCTCTAGGGTTCAGCGATCATGTATGCATATACTTTCGATGTGCTCTTTCAAGGCACCAAGAGACCGCTGTTGAATTACTTCCGAATATTTGGCGGGCGGACTTTAGTGCAATGCGAGCTAAGGCTTCAGTGCTGAACTATGAGATCTCGATGGCCGACTATGTACAGCTAGTCTTGGATAAAGTTAAGGCATACCGTACGGAGGTTTCCACTCCCTATATTCCACTCATGAGGAAAAGAGGGTTACGGGCACAGCCTCCATGGATAGATACCACAGGCAAGTACCTACTCAAGAAACGGTCTAGATGCTGGCGAACCTACCAAGCAGCTCCATCAGCCAGTACCTATGATAGTTATCGAGAGATTAGAAATAAATGTAAGCAACATCTCAAAACTGCTCGTTTCCAGTACGAGCAGGGTTTAGCGGACTCGGCCGCAGCTAATCCCAAGAAGTTTTTGCTTACGTTGAAAGACGCAGCGCGGCAAAACTGTCTATACCAGCGTTATTGCGAGCAGACGGGACCCGTGCGCAAACTGACTATGAAAAGGCTTGTATACTTAGTGATCAGTATACTGGGGTCTTCGCTCGGGAGACCTCTTTACCGCAGGTTGAATTGGTTTCAAGAGTTCCAGAGGATTCTTGCTTAGATGAATTTAGCATAACGGAGACACAAGTCTTCGAGCTACTGCAAGGCATTAATCCCTCTAAAGATTCCGGTCCTGATTCAATTCATCCGAAGCTTTTGCATTAATTGGCCACTGAGTTGAGTGGTCCTCTTACATGCGTGTTTTCAATATCACTGGACAGCTGCATTCTACCTTCGGAATGGAAGGAGGCAATCATCTGTCCGATTTTTAAGGGCGGTGACAGCGCTCTACCCGCGAACTACCGGCTTGTCAGTTTGACAAGCGTAGTAGTCAAGTTGTTTGAAAAGCTGATAAGAGATTCAGTGGAGAACCATCTGAATAGATTCAACCTTCTCAGTGTTGCGCAACATGGATTCCGCAAAGGATTTTCATGTCAGGCTAATCTACTTGTAGCTCGTGAAAGCTGGGCCGAAGCGGTAGACAGTGGCCACGCTGTAGACGTGCTATTCGTAGATTTTTCGAAAGCTTTTGACACGGTTCCATAACTTGGGCTCTCACTAAAGTGGAGATCTTACGGGATATCTGGTCGCGCCCTTCAATGTGTGTCTGCCTTCCTTGAGAGGAGGGAACAGTGCGTACAGGTGGGGCGTAACCTTTCGCTCAGGCAAGCTGTCCTTAGTGGCGTTCCGCAGTGCCCGTTATTGAGGCCATTGTTGTCCGCGATATATGTAAATGACTTGCCGAGAGAGCTAGGGGTGTCATCACTAATGTTTGCTGACGACCTTAAGCTCTGGAATGTTGTGGATATCCCGGGGGGTCCTGAGGCGATTCAGCATGCCTCGGATAGGCTCTGGGAATGGTCGCAACGAGACTGGACCTTAACGTGGTGCGACGGTTTGTGTACCTCATTAACCCATTGAGCTATACTGGGTGATGCCTCCGAGCATCTTGAGAGCTACTCCTATCACGTTGGTCAATGGTGAGAGGTCAGACAAACTCAGTCTCCTGGTCCTCCAGGTTGGGGGTTTGAAATGGCACGCCGTCCATTTCTGTAAAACTAAATCGCCGCCACCCCGCTGCCTTGCGAATAGACTTTTGAGCCCAAGGCTTTGGATGAGGACCCTAATCGTCCTCCTGTCTAGGTCTGGACGCCCTGGCAGTATCCAAGCCCACATACAACCTTGACATTTTCTTTAAACATAAACTTCATCCTGCATCGGCCGTCGTTCAGATTATCAAGGGTCGCCTTATCTGCTGCATACAGCAGGGCGGATAAGCCCAAACATGCTACTGCTGGCGCCTCCCTTCTTTCGTTTCCACCTTTTCTCTTACTCCCATCCCGGCTTCCATTACTAACCTTCCTTCTATAATTCCCAGCTTAATTGACAACAACCGAAGTGCTACTGAGGTAGTACCATCTGCAGCCACCATCCCACCACACCTATCGGACGCCCATCGGCAAAAGTCCCTTATAAGGCCACGCTGTCCCGTTTCCATGGTGACATTCAACGTCCGCACTCTAAGACAAACAGGTCAGCAGGCTGCACTCGCACGCACCTTGGGCACACTGGGTGTTGATGTGTGTTGTGTGTCCAAAACTAGGATTAATGACCCTAACGGGGTTATTAAATTGACTGCACCCGGCTTATCCTCTCGTTATTGGTTGCACGCATCCGGAGACGCCGATGCGGAACTCACGGGTCAAGCCGGTGTAGGTATCATTCTTAGCTCCATGGCTGAGTCATCGTTGGTTGATTGGATTCCGGTGAACAGCCGTTTATGTGCAGCCCGTTTGAAAACATCAGCTAAGGTGAATTGGCGAAGTAAAAGAAAACGCTATTTGTTTGTGATTTCCCTTTATGCTCCCACCGACTGCAGTTCTAATGCAGTCAAGGACACCTTCTATCACGAACTGAACGCCCTACTACGCAGTGCTACTAGTTCAGATATTATAGTACTTGCAGGGGATATGAGCGCACAAGTAGGGCGGCTGAGCTCTTCAGAAGCTCAGGTGGGTGGTAATTGTGGGCTTAACTCCGAACGG